CATGCATATCTTTTATAGGAACAAGCGACGTCGTTATCAATACTGCCAACTTGTTTGATTAAAACGCTGCCGTTGCTGCGACCGACGCTGATAAAGCAGCTGGAAAACCGGCGCGAAAAGTTGCACAAAAAGTGAAGCCGAAAAGACAAGAGGGAGAGAGAGAGAGAGAGAGAAAGAGAGCGCGTGGCAACGCTAAAGAGAGGAAGAGTTGCCAAATGAGTCACACAAAAGCCATCGAAAACTTTACAGCACTCACAACAACAATAACAATTGTAAACGTGGCAAAATCGTTTTTAATATATTTTAACATTTTAGCGCCACAAGCGAAAAAAAATAAATGAATAAATTGTAAATATGTTGGTTTGCATATCTCAAACGAAAATCAGACAGCCGAAGTTGGCGTTGCCACTCATTACGTCATCGGCGAAGTCATGTAAACAACAACACAAACAACGACCAATTGAGTATAAAAAGCAAAATGCGCGCTGTTCCTGGGGATGAGGCAATATTTAAAGGGCAATCAAAAGCAAAAGCACAAGTGTAAGAAAACAAAGTTAAAGTAGAAAGTTAATAAATTAAAGCAATTGTTGAGCGGTTGGCAACGCGACTTAAATAACGAACAAGAGAGCGAGGTAGAGCGAGAGAGCGAGTGCGTCGCAGCTGAGAACATATGAGCGTAAAATCGATTTATCACAATCAGCGGCTTGCACACGTTTTGCACTTCAGTTGGAGCAACAAATAAAAATGAATTCTTTAACAATAGTTTACTTACAATTCTTTGATCTGCATTTTTTCCCAATTTTATTGCTCCGTTGATTTACTGCTTGTCAGGTGGCACGCACAGGCGTAACGGATTGGAGAACGGTCGAAAAACAGTGAAGCAGAGAGAGAGAGAGAGAGGGGAAACTTGGATTTAGATTTCTTTGAAATTGAATGTGTTGCACTTGAATGCAACCTTCACACACACAGAGACACACACTTGATCACCGCGAGGATATAATTTTTGCGACTATATTCAATGACAATAGAAAAAATATATTTTCATTAGTTTTCGCACTTTTCTCTTAATTTTTGATATTGCGTGCAATGCTAAAGGCGGCCTTTGAGTGTCCACTATTTAAGTAGTTTTTTTTTGTTGCATGTCGGCAAAAAGCACGAGTCATACGCACTCACACACATTTACATGGCCGCTCTCACATACACACTCGCACACACACTAGCGACGGCTGCTTGCGCCAAATTTGTAACAAACACGTACAACTTCTATTGGTAATTGTGGTTGACTGGCGTTTTGTTTACTCGCGGAAACGCTTAACGTATATTCAGTTTCAGCAGTAATAGTAATTGATTTTTGTACACGACGACCAGACGAGGTGTGACCGAATATTGATAACGAAATAATAATGCAAAACACTATGATGCTTTCGATGATTGAGTACTTATCGATGCTAAGGCTATACTAATATCGATGCATCGGCCTTTTTAATCGAATTACCTGCACGTGTAAAACGCAAAACAAAATAAATGCACGCAAATTGTCAAAAACAATAGTAAAATGGGTAAATTGAATGTTACGGTGCTGCGCTACCTCACCAGGGAGGACTTTCGCGTGCTGACAGCCATCGAAATGGGCATGAAGAATCACGAACTGGTACCAGGTCCCCTGGCCGCTGCAATAGCCAATCTCAAAACGGGTGGCGTGCACAAACTACTGAAGGAGCTCTGCAAGCACAAATTGCTAACCTATGAGCGTGGCAAGAAGTGTTAGTAAGATTTAAAATCCTTGATTTCCATTTTTAATCGCTATCTCTTGCAGATGATGGCTATCGTTTAACTAACACGGGCTACGACTATCTCGCACTGAAGTCCCTCACGCTGCGTGGTTCTGTTAGTTCATTTGGCAACCAGATTGGCATTGGCAAGGAATCCAACATTTATGTGGTTGCAGATGAGGATGGCACGCCCATTTGCCTTAAGCTGCATCGTCTGGGTCGCACCTGTTTCCGCAACGTCAAATCAAAGCGCGACTACCATGGTCGCAGGCACAAAGCCTCCTGGCTGTATCTGTCGCGCATCTCGGCAACGCGGGAGTTTGCCTATATGTCAGCCTTATACGATCGGGGCTTTCCCGTGCCCAGGCCAATTGATTTCAATCGGCACTGTGTGCTTATGGAGCTTGTTAACGGTTGGCCCATGTAAGTGGACATCCATGTAGTTAAGTTTGCATTCTATGAATGTCTTTATTTCCAAACTACAGGACACAAGTGCATGAGCTACTGGATATACCACAGGTCTACGATGATCTTATGAATCTCATCGTGCGCCTTGGTAACTCGGGTGTCATTCACGGAGATTTCAATGAGTTTAATTTGATGCTTACTGATGCCGGCAAGCCCATACTGATTGACTTTCCTCAAATGATGTCCACTTCCCATGAGAACGCCCAATTGTAAGCGGTTTGCAATTGTTTCTATTGTCCATTAACGAATTTCCAATCTGTGACAGCTTTTTTGAGCGCGACGTCACGTGTGTGCGTGAGATGTTCCGTCGCAAGTTCGCCTACGAAAGCGAGGATTATCCCAAATTCAGTGACTTGGTGCGCGAAGATGATTTAGACGCTGAGGTCCACTGCACTGGGTATGGATTCACAAAAGAAATGGAGCAAGATCTGCTGCAGGAGTATGGCATGATTGAGGAAGTGGAGGAGGGGGAAGAGGAGCAAGAACAGCTGGCTGATGATGAGCCGCCAGCATTGGTGCCAGCTGCAGCTGCCGAGATTGACGAGTGCCGCAGACAATTAGAAAACGAGGTGTCCTACAGCGAGACAAAGCCTGCACAAAAGTCCGACGATGCAATTAGGCGTTACATTGAATCGTGCACGCAATACTTGGGCAATCTAAGCGTTGGTCCCGAGATATCCGATTCGGCTATAGTGGCAACACCGAAAGTCCTAGACTCTGAACGGATGACATCTATTCCAATCCAGGAAGCTAGTGAAGCTGTGGCAAACGCTACTGAATCTGCTTCCAATTCATTAGAAGCCAATCCCGCAGCTGAAGATGCGCACTCCATCAGCTCCAACGACTTGGAAACGGATGAAATGCCAGAGCTAGCCGGCCTAGATCCAAATTCGCGCAAGTACCGCCTAAAGATGGTCGAACAGATGTTAAACGATGCACGCAGCCAGCGATCCTTCTCCACCACAGCCAGTACGATAGCTCCATCTGTGATCACAGATCGCATACGTCGCAACTTGGATATAAAGGAGAAGCGGGAGCAGCGCAAACGTTGTGTGGCCAAGGGCGAAGCAAGTGCCGTGCATCGACATCGTAAGGAAAACAAAGATGTGGTGAAAGAGTACGCGGGCTGGGATTTTTAGGATAAACTCTGTTCTAGACAACAGCAGTGTACATTAATATATTCACAATAATCTATGGTTTTAACAATAATATAGCAAATATTTTGCTTCAAAACCTTTGGGACCTTTTTGACATTGGTATAGCTGGGTAGAAAAATGTACTTGTTTAACTCTTTCTTATGTTTCGAATTTTTTCCGGCAGGTCAGAGGAGCGATCACAGCTGTAAATTTAATCTAAACTCCTTAAGCCATTTGATTCAAGTACTCACCCATGAATTTACTGATTTCCGGTTGAAGCATTGGTGTATGCCCAAGTTCAATTCACGCTTTTCCAAAAATGTAACTCTCGATTGGGGGTCAAAGATTTGGTGGGTGACGTTGCGCACTCAAATTAATTTCCAAATATCTATAAGAAGAATCATTAAAGACAAGTCTCACGCTTTTCGCAGAATCCAAGCTTCCACAGTAGAAATGCGATTCCAAGGTTTTTTTGGGCAAAATTTTAAGTTTTCATCGATTTGCATAAAATTTATTTAATTTATTTTATTTAACTTAATACGTGTTACAGCGATTTAGAAAATTCCCTCCGCAATTGTGGAAATTTGGCGGAAATTAATAATAGTTTAATTTAATAAAATATATATAAATGACTAGCGTTCACGTTTCATTATACATATATTATGCCTAAGGCGTATACGATGATTGGGTTTGTTAAGCGCAATTCTACCCAGTTTAAAGATCCTTTAACAAGATTATCTTTATATTCGGCCTATGTGCAGTGAGCATTAGAGTATGCCTCTTATATTTGGAACCCATCCGCAATTGTGCACAAAACTAGGATTGAAAGGCTGTAAAAAAAGTTGTAGTTATTTATATTTTTACATAACATTTAGCAATTCAAAATAAAAAAAAAAAAAATGAATTAAATACAATTAACACAAAAACTTAAACCCAAAACTCAATAAAAACAACAGTAAGCAACGAATATTGTTTTTTTTTTTTTAAGAGCGTGACAAGAAGTTTAAATATAATGTTTCCTTTCCTGTTTCCGTTCCTTACGTCTATATTTAGCGATTGGGCATTTCTTAGATACCCTGTCCCTACTAAACTTATTTGAGAGCTAGATTACTTTTTCTGGCACTAAATCACACAGCATTAGCTGCTTGTTCAAACAACAATTGTCATTCTCTTTTTAATTTATTTGCACAGCAGCATTTTAATAAAATGCGGCATGATTTTGCAATTTGGGAGCACCGAAGCTTAATGGAAGCAAAAACGCTGATTAGCTCAGATACACGCTTCCTGAATGTGCATACATGTGTTCGTGCATTATTATGTATGCAGACATATGTGCATATAAATTCTCTCTCATATTGTGATGAAATTATTTTACTGTGCGGATTAGATTAGATATATGATCTTAAAACGTTAAAAGATTAATTATAAAAAAAAAAAAAAATAGAAATGTTCAGTGCCCAAACCACAAGGCGTGGGAAGAATAGCTTCATTTTAATAGGTATGCGTAGAATCTAAAGGATTCTAGTATTATTAAGCAGATTGCTACGAATCAGATCGGCACTCATAGCTTTGCAATTTGTGTAAGACTTCAATGATTCTAATGCAACAAGATATAACCAAGCCATTTTTAATATATAAACTCTTTAATTTGTTCTTAATATCTATTCTAGAATAAAAAAAAAAAACAAAACTCCAGGATACAAGGCAAACAGTTAGCATGAATATAAAATCAGTTTAAGTATATATTAATATTAATCGAATACATCGAGAAGGCCGCGGCGCTCAAAATCGGGTAGCCATCTTTTTACATTTTCCTGAAGCCTCTTATTATTGTACATGCCCTTTCGAAAGTTGCGACCCCGTTCATCGTCCAGCAGCAGACCATTGAAGTCCGCATCCTTTGTTTCCTCGTTGAGCATTATAGCCTGGCAGGTCAGAGTAGCGGTCACAGCTGTAGAATAATATAAATTTCCATTTAATCTCAGCTCTTTAAAGACATTCGATCCATTTACTCACCCATAAATTTACCCTTTTCCAGTTGCAGTACCAACTGCCGAAGCGTGGGTATATGGCCACCAAAGTTCAATTCACGCAGGGTATCCGCCAGTACCTTATGATAATATTGGATTAGGGCGTCCAGATGTTTGTTGCGCACTTCAGGTTGGAGTGAGGTGCTGCTGAAGTAAAAGAGGTCCACGGCGGGTGAGGCCCAGGCGGAGAACTGAAAGTCAATCAGCAGCATATCCAGCTCATTCTGATCGGTTTTATTCCTCAGCATTATGTTATTTATCCACAAATCGCCGTGAGTTAAGGTGTTGAATTGATCCGGTTGTGGATCATAAACTCTTTCGGTGTATTCCATCACACGCTTCTGCAGGCGCTTCAACTTCTCCTCATAGACGCTGCCCAGCTCTGGACACTGGCCGGCAAACTGTGCGGCCACGCCGAATAGACTCTCAAACATTGGCGAAAAGGCCCGCGTATGACGGTTAAATATACCATGATCCAGTTTGGCGAGGAGCCCGGGCTGACGCTCGTTGAAGACGGCAGCTGCGGCATGCATCTTGGCCAGCTTTCGCAACGTCAACTTGGCGTGCTCTAAATCGAAGCCTGTCAAACGATCGCCCAGCACGTAGTTGGATACAGCCAGATCTTCAAAGATAATGGCCGAGTGCTCGTAGTCCACATGCAGCGTCTTGGCAAATAGTTTCTCCGATTGTTGTGTGCCCTCCAACAGTTCACTCAGTTGTGGGAGGATTTTGTCGTACATAACCATTTCCGTCTGGCTGGCATTGTAGCCCGCAAAGATGTTGGAAATGAATGGATCATTCTCGTATGTGGTCTTCACAATAAAGAATTCCGTTTCTGGCTGATTGGCGCCGCCACGCACATAGTCCACCTTGATTCTGGTCATAATGCTGGCATAATTGTCGCCCTTGGCCGTTGCGGCCTTGATATTTAAATCCTTAATACTGAGCTCTGAATCCTGCTTAACGCGACGCAGAATGGATTCTACATAGGACACCGTCAGCCACTGCGGTGCAGGATGAAAGTCATCCTCATCTTGGCTACCGTTGCTGTTGCCGTTCCGTATTTCGACCATGATTAGTTGATACTCTCGCATCGACTCGGCAGCATTCGCAATTTATAGTCCAGCAAGCCCAACGATCCCGAAAGTTTAAATATATATGCATAATCTGGCGTTATCTAATCTGTCCATATAGCGTCAGACAGTTGTATTACTTATGTGTCGCTGACATAACGCCTTTCCCTGCGGATCTAGAGACTTGTCTATATACTTACATGAACATATATATGTAGACTAATATCTATTAGCTACAATCTCCAGTTTATGCATAGTCATCTGAGCACAAATGGGACTACTATACTTAGTACGGTAGATAGTAGTAACGTCTGACATTGAATTATAGCTGTATATCAGTATATAGTATAGAGTAAGTGTGCCCCCCATAAATCTCTTACTTGTGCGACTATTTCATCTGCTTGACAATCCATAAAGCGCGCAGTCTATTTACATAACAAAACCAAAATATATATGGTTAGTTATGTTAGTCCCACTTGTTAGCTTAGCGTAGTTCCCACCTTATCAATGGGTATCTGGCACGTTATCCGTTTTTATATTTCATGACGTCGTTATTAATTTTTTAATTGTTTAGAAACATTAAAATGAGATACGCAGTTAGTTGTGTTACGTATTGTTTATTACAATGATTTAGTTTTTACAATCTTAAAACATATTTTTGACGTAGATAATCCTTGCAATTAACGGAGACTGAATTTGTCAGGCAAAAAAGAATAGTTAGCTGGGGAAAAAAAAAAAAATTTAAACAACTATAACATACTATTTTAAAAGTTAAGGGCTCCATTCGGGAGTTGCTGACTAGGAGACACCCCAAACCCTCTTCTACCAACGCCAAAAGCAGATCGCACTATGAGCTCGCTTGCGTTGGAAGTAATACAAATACGAACAGACAGACGGACACACAGACGGACAGCTAGAGCTCGGAGATACATCTGACTGTAAAATACTTTTGCACAATATACCCTTTGTGCCAATTTTTAATGGGCTCAGGTTGTAATAATAGATTATTGTGGAAGCTCAAATGTTCTAGAATAACTTCTGTACTTTTCCGATTGTTATGAATTATAAGAATAAAATATTAAATTTGTTTTTACCTGTGATTTTAGGTCTTAAGATACAATTACCGATAAGAATTTTAATTAAAATTTATCCAGACTAATGACCAAGAATATGTTGAATTTTTTTATAAGGACAATGCTCCCTTAAATTCGTTTTATTCAAGATGACATCGATAACAATAATATAACTCATTTATAATATTGTAGCTGCATATAAAAGGGTTGCAATTTCAAGTCAGATAAATATTACCCTTTGTATTAAAGTATTACCGATCAGCTTAAGATGTATTTTATTGTTAAGTATTTCTTAAACTTTACAAATTATGCAACTAAAAACGTTAATTCCATTTACATCTCATCCAGCAATCCTCTGTGATCAAAAAATGGCAAAATGGTTCTTAGTTTCTTCTGGAAGATCGCGGTCTTATAGATAGATACTCTCAATGCAATATCGCTTTCAGAGTTAGACAGAGCTTTTTCGATGGAGAATTCTTCGGAGCCAGAGTGCAGCATGGCGGGCAGAAAAACCAAGGAGCAAAAAATAGCTATTAATTGAACAATTGAAAAATAATAAATTAGCATAAATCAAACTACAACACCACAAATCAGTTACGCACAATAGAAAGCCCGCGCTTGAAACTGTAGCTGGAACTCAAATAGGCTAGGCACATGGCCACCAAACTTGAGTTTCGTCAGAGCCTCCACGAGCTTCTGGTAATAGAATTGGACTAGCTCAGTTTGTTTATGATTGTGGAGTTCGTCTTGTACCGAGGTGCTGAAGAAGTAGTGCAGATCGATAGCCGGTGAGCTCCACACACTAAATTGAAAATCTATAAAAATCATATTGTTGGGTCTGCCGTTTGGCAGATAATTGAACATAATATTCGTAGTCCACAGATCTCCATGGCACAGAGTTGCGAAATCCCCTTCGTTCAGTTCCATTGCTCGCTCACTATATTCCATGATGTGATCGATCACTCCGTTTAGCTTAGCTGCGTATCGTTGATGCAGCAATTTGTCGTCCTCAATGGATGTTATCAGAGCTCTCAGCATATTCTGCATGATTGGCTTGTAGGCTCTTGTGTGCCTATTGAAGAAGCAACGATCGTATTTTTTGGCATAAATCCCAGGTTGTTTCTCGTTGAGAGCGACCCCAGCGGCATGGAATTCGGCCAGCTTTTCCAGTACCAGTCTTGTATGTGACAGATCCAACTGCTTTATGCGATCCGCAACAGTGTATTTATCCAAAGACATGTCCTCAAACATAATAGAGTCGCGTTCCCGATCCACATTTACGGTGCCGGCAAACATTTTTCTCTGGTCGCCCAGCTCTTCTTGGATGATCTTTGCCAACTTGGGCAGCACCTCCTCATACATATCCATTTCGCGGACATAGACGCCATATTGTTCCAGCAAATGAGCTGCTGGATCCATGCCAGAAAAGGTGGTTTTTATTAAATAGGTATCCTCGTGCTTTAATAGATTCTTGTCCATATACTCCACATTGATGCGCGTCATCACGCTGGCATAGTTCTCCCCATTGCTCGTGGCGGGCTTTATGTAAAGTCGTTGCAGCTGCAGTTTGCCATCTTTCAGATATTCGCGCAACTTCTGCTGGACGTAATCCCGCGTGAGCCAATTGGGCGCCGCAAGGAACTCGTGAATTGTTTGCTCTGGCATAATTGTTAGATCGCATCCACAGCCGTCAAACACTTCTGAGCTGTCTTCGCGGAGCTCATCTACTTTTATACAGCGCTCAGGCTGACGATAAGAAAACTGCTGGACTATGTCTACGACTATGTACATCTTACGCCTGCCTTCCAGTTTGATTTAACGACTCTACTCCCGTATATGGCCGCGCTCGTCATTTTAGCCCGTCATCACTGTGTCTTTATTAGACTGTCGGGCCTGTCGACAGAAACAGTGTCATAATATATGATACTATTTTAATGTCTGCGTTTTATAATGGATTTCAGACAAGCACTCACATTGTTTGCCAAAGCTTTGCACTCTGAGCTAATTATCTAGTCGATTACCCTGCATGTTGGGTGCCCTCTAACAAATGTTTACTATCTCTATGTCCTAGTTGACTGATTGGTGATCAACGCACAGTGTAATCCATAAAAGATAGGAAGCTCTAGTTACCTTATATGAGGAAGGTGTTGTACGCTAAGACGCAGACTTGACATTTATTTAAAAATTATTTTGGGAGGTATTTAACACCTTTCGCAAAATCTGTCCTGGGGCACACAAATGCCGGTGAAAGGTTACAAGGGCGAAGTTTTTAGTTTCTTGGCTCTAAATACTTTAGGAATACGTGTTTTAGCGATTTAGGAAATTCCATCAGCAACTGTGGAAGTTTGGCGAAAATTTGCAAAAATCTTTGTGAAAATGTATTTGTATGTATGTTGGAAAAATTCACATTTTTCACGGGCGGGAACTGGGTAAAAAGGTAGTATCTAAAATTATAAGCACACAACTTGCCACGGGTTTCATACAACTGATTTTCACGAAATTTTCTATATTTACCGGTGGAATTTTTAAAAATTCAGCTTGCTAACTCTTACGGTTTGGGCTGTGAGATGACAGCCAGCCATTCAATGAGTCAAATAGTTTTGTGTATAGCGATTTATTGAGTAACTATTTAATATTCCTATTCCCATATTGATCGACTGATGCACCGTCACGATATATGTATTTAAAGTTTTTAGAGAAGCTTATTTGGTATTTGCATTTACACCAATGTGAATTACACACACAATGTGAATTAATATCTCATTTTATTTGTCGGCTTAACAGCATTGATTAACCTCCAGCAGTCCCTTTCTATCGAAGACTGGCATCAGGGCCTTCAGATTCTGCTGGACTATGGGGTTGTTATAGAGACGATTCTTGAAGCGTATGCCACGTTCATCATCATTCATGAGAGCATTAAAGCAGGCATCTGTGGAGTCCTCGCTGATCATGACGGGCTGCACCACAACGGCCGAGTGCATGGCTATAAGGAAAAAAACACAGTTAACTTTTCGTTAATTCCAATAAATTATTCTCTGAATTAGCTTACCGAAAAAGCGCTTCTCTTCGGCCTGCAACTGAAATTGGTGCAAACTGGGAATTGGGTTCTGTTTGTAGTTTAGTTTTGTGAGAATATTTCTGAATATGCGATGATAGAACTCAAAGAGTACACCTTGTTCCTCCCGTCGCAGTGGCTCCAGCAGCGATGTATTAAAGAAATGATGCAAATCAATGGTGGGCGAGCCCCAAAAGGAATATTGAAAGTCAATTAATAGAATATCGACTGGACGACCAGTAACTGCATCGTATTTGACCATAACATTGTTGGTCCAAACATCCCCGTGCGCCAACACATTCACCGACTCCCGCAGCGGAGCAAAACATTCCCGTCCAATGTCCATGTAGTGTGGAGCCAGCTCAAAGAGCTTCTGCCCGTACTGTGCGCACTCGGGCTCCTGGCTCATCCAGCGTGCGGCGGCCAGTAGGCCGCCCACAAAGTAGCCGCTGTAGGCGTCCGTATAGCGATTGAAGAAACCGCGATCGTATTTCTCGAGGCTGCCGGCATTGCGTTCATTGAGTACCGCAGAGGTGGCGTGCATCTTGGCCAGTTTGCGAAGGATCAAATGAGCATGATCCTTGTCCAGACGCTTAACACGATCGGCCATCACATAGTGGGCCACAGCTAGATCCTCAAAGATGATGGCCATGCGTTCACGATCCACAAAGATGGCGGTGGGAAACAAGGGCTCAAACTCATCAATTTCCTTGAGAAGCTCATTTAATTTGGGTAGCACCTCCTCATAGATGGTCATTTCGCGATTGTAAATGTCGTAGGGCGCCATAAGCTCCTTGGTCAGCTCATCATCATCAATGGAGGTCTTTACGATCAGGTTCTGCAGCTGCTCTTCCTGGGATTGCTGCGAAAGTGTGAAACGCACGCGGACCCTAGTCAAGACACCGCCATAGTTCTCGCCCGGTCCCAGAGCCGGATTCAATTCAAGATGTACAATCTGTAATTTGTCATCTTTGTAATGCGTTCTCAGCGCGTGCTCAATGTAATCATGTGTCAGCCATTCAGGTGCCGCTGCCATTATGTCTTGTTTTAGCTAAGATGTCGACGATTGTGGTGCAAGTTTATTGGGTTCACTGACTTATATACGAGAGGATCGGCTCTATAGAAACTGCCTTTGGTGAAGGTGAAATTCATACAGCTTTTTTATTTTTTATTTTTTTAACACTTCCACAATCTATCTCTCTCCCTGTGCGCGATGCTTTTATATTTGAGCAAATGTTTGCTCCGACTACCATATACATATACGATTCATATATGGTATTTGCTTCCGAGCTTAGTGCAACTGTGTGGCAACAGGTCCAGAGCTCGTGCCATATGACGTGTGCCAGACGAATTGCTGGTTACAAGTGCACGGAATATTATCTAAGTCTGCGTGCAATCTTAAATGATATACGGCTGAGAACATCATTAATTAAGTTGAGTGCACACCACATATGTTACTATACTATATATACTAAAAATGACCTTATTACTAGTTTATCATGCAGTTATTTTCACTGACATCTTTTGAGCTTACATATATCTTTTTACGAATAGCACAACAAGGATTTGGGACCGAGTTGGACATTAGACGTTTCATTATTTTTTGATCTTGTCCTCCGCGTTATTCCTCAACTTTTCACTAATTGGGGTGGATATTCAGAAATGTGCGAAATACGTGGTACGTGAATAAGATATTTGAAAATGAGTTTGAAACGGTTTACATGGTAAGCAAAAAAGAAGTATACATAATACGCTATTCCATCAGTTTTCCATATTTGCAGGTGGAATTGAACAAAAACACGCCTTTGCGAGCATTTATAGCTCTCAGGGCTTGGCTTTGCACTCGGTCAGAAAAGACACGTTGAATTATCTGAAAATAATAATAGTTTTCTTATTATTTGATTGTTGAAAGACGTCAATGACCATTCACTATTAATTGTATAATGACAGTTTAAGTCGATTCATAAGACTTAGTGTGCATGTTACCCTAAAGACCTGTAAAATATAGTCCCGGCCCTTAATTAGTCTCGATTTATCATGATTGTTATTTGCCCAGACGCTCTTAGTAACTCTACAAATACAGACAAATTAAATAAAATCGAGAAATTACTGGTATCTTTGGCACACCGAAGATTTAATACACTTGTATGCATTTCTCTTTGGCAGATATGTGGAAATAGTGAAGCTCGTAAATTCTGACCTTGAAGCATCGTTGAAGTATCTTGGAAAACAGAATATTTGGCTATATAAGAACCTACTTTTCGACCGACATTTTTTATGGTAGTTATATAATTTAGTTGAGGATCATGGTAAAACTTATAAATCCCGAGTTTGTTAGAGAAATTTTGAAAAATAAAAGGTTTACCATATAAGAATCTACTTTTGGAACGATCCTTTAAATAACAGCTTTATAATATAGTGGTCTAATCCGGCCGGTTCCGACATATGTATTGCCTGCAACAGAAAGAGGGACTTTGAAAAGTTCCAAGACAATATCTTTAAAACTGAGAGACTAGTTCGTGTAGAAACAGACAGATGGACAGAAAAACATACGGACATGGCTATATCAACTGTTGATGCGGATCTGATATATATATACTTTATGGAGTCGGAAACGTGTAACAGATTTCAAGATAAAAGTTTAGTACCTATTACAAGGGTGCTTAAATACACTAACAATGTAAAGCCCATTCATTTTGCACGTGCTGTATTTTGATAGAACCCATTTAGCTTCAGTTTTAAATAAATTATAAGCACGCACATAAAGTTGTATGTATTTTAGGTTCATTCATCACAAGCTCAGTATATAGCTTTAGTCTCGTTAAATATTTAAAATGTTGTGTTTTTTTCAACCCTGAGTATCTTACGACTACACTGGAGTGATTAAAGTCTATATAAGTATTACTACATACAACCCTCAATTATCAGTAGTGGGCGGTAGCAACAGCGCGTGGGGCAGCCTGAACAAGCTGCGATGGCACGATCCATTAAGACTAAGTATAATCTATATTTATGCATGCACAGGCATATATAATCTGCATCTTTTTATCTAAGAGAGATAAATCACAATTGTGATAGGGACACGGCGTCGACACCTGCCATGAGGTGTCGTATAAAAAGCCGTGTGCTTCAGAAATTTGAACATTGATATTTCAGCAACAGCCTTCGAAGAGTTTATTGTGATAGATCAGTTGGAATAGCTTATGAAAAATGTCTGTTTCGGATTTAATAAGCGCATTGGATGCCATTCCTAAGCTGACAACAACTAACCCTGACATAGACTCAGGATTTCTGGATGCGCCAGAATGGCTTACAGAGAGCTATTTGCAGGATGCTTTGCGCAAATTCTACAGTGATCCGAAATTGAAGATCACCGCGCTTGATGGTCGTCCGGCACTGGGACGGGGCGAAAACTATGGCGGAGTTCTGACCCGCACCAAGGCGGAGTTTATTCGAAGCGATGGCAGCTCTCTGATCGGACACTACATAATCAAAACCTCGTTTGAGAGCGACGAATTCGCACGCAAAGCCATGGAACCCTACGATATATTCAACCGGGAAATGTCCATCTATGAACAGATCCTGCCCAAACTTAATGCGCTGCTGCGGGAAATTAGGGATGAAGAACAAATCTTTGCAGAAACAATGGCCGTTGACTATCATCGCTCCGCACTGATCTTCGAGGATCTAAGCGTGCGTGGCTATGTAATGCCCGATCGTCTAGTGGGCTTGGATCTGAAGCTGGCCCGACTCGTTCTGCGCAAGCTGGCCAAGATGCATGCCACCTCGGCAGTGCTAAACGAGCGCGAGCTCGGCGCCCTGGAATCCTATGATCGTGGCATGTTCAACCGTCACACAGATAACTATGCGCCTTGCTTTCTGGGCATGATTCAAGCGGCTAGCACGCGTGTTGCACAGTGGCCTGGTTACGAGCAGTACGCTGAGAAACTGGAGGCTCTCGTGCCCGTCTACATGGAACTGGGCAAGCGAGTGTTCGATGTCTGTCCGGGCATTAACGTGCTGGCCCACGGCGATCTGTGGACCAATAATGTCCTTGTCAAGTATAACGAATCCACCGGCGAACCGGAGGATGTCATTATCATTGATTTCCAGTACGCTGCCTGGGGCTCACCGGCGATTGATCTGTTCTACTTTTTGAATTCATCGCTGCAATTGGATTTCCATTTACACCATCAGGAGCAACTCATCCAGTACTACTTTGAGATCTTCTCAAGTACGCTTAGAAAACTGCGCTACAAAGCGCATATTCCCAGTCTACATAACTTTCACTTGGAGCTTAAGAAGAAATCTTTCTATGGTAAGTTTTAAACATTTGTGAATCTCTCCCGATTTTTTAATAATCTGTGTTTCTTTGTTTCGTCCCTGCAGCCATGCACACCAGCTTCAGTATCTTTCCCATCCAGCGAAATGTGGAAACAGATGATGCCGACTTTAATGCTTTAATGAAGTCCGACCAGCGAGCGATTAACTTCAAGAATGGCTGCTATAGAAATCCAGTTGCCCAAAAGATTCTGCGGGAATTATTAAATGTATTTGATTGTCAAGGGTTGCTGGATGCAGATCAGTAATTCGGGTTGGGATTCCGTTTTCAGTTTCTTGTACATTCTTCTTATAGCCAAATATCATTTATTTCATTTAACTTACATATCATTAATTTAGGGCACATTGACTTTAATACGTATACATATAAATTATATTTACGTATGTAGTCAAATTTCGTAAATATAGAGATGCATAAAAGCTGTACATGCTTGTCCTTTATTAGCTTAATTTCATTTATACAAACTGACATATATCCTATAATTTATCAATTTTTGTCCATACTACATTTTTACACTGTAATAAATTTTCGTGCAAATAACATTTCTGTCTGTATTTTGAAACTAAATTTCTAGATATGAGATGAAATCGTACTTAATACTGTCTAAAAATATCAAATTAGTAAAAGTCAAATGTAGAACAACCAATTGATTTAAAATTATCTGCGCTCAAATAATCTTTATCAGATATTTTTAAATTGTTATGATATCGAACCCAAAACACGCGCTACCAGACCTTATGCTTTTTCTAATCCTAAACAAAGCTCGTTTATGTAAGTATTAAAACGATATTGAAAATCCAGCTAATCACAAAGAACCAAAAGCTGGAGCACCATGTTTTGCTAAAAGCAGACAATAAAGCTTTTTTTCTTTAACTTCTCTTCAAATGGGGCAACGAGAAATGGTTCTCTAAACAATAAAAAACACGATTTTCTCTTTTATTTACGCTCTCTCTATTCACTTCTCATTGTTTACGCAAAGCACAACCATTTAAGGTAATGTTCAATTGATAATAATTGTTGTGAGCATACGCGTTAAGCTTAGATAATTCTGTTATTGCTCTTAACCAAATGCATACTCTACAAAATGGGCTTGTAGACTGCAAACGACAGAAAGAGACACCTCTAATATCGACCAAGCTGCAGAGTATCTAACTAGTCGCGTCTAACTTTTTACTGTAGTGTCGCTCTCTTTGTGCGCATCGAAAAGCTTCCAATGGACAAAAAACGTAAATAAATATAATTTTTGGGTAAACTTTTAGTTAGTTGTCGTGCATACCTGAGTAAACGCATATATAATCGATATATAGGTTTAAGTAGGGCATGTCAACAAATCAAAATTACAATCCGGATGAGCTGGAGGCATTGGAATGGCTTAATACGCCATTCTTTACCGAGGTCTTGATACAATACGAGAATGCACCAGATTTAAAGTTAAATGATCTCAAATTGTCCCCGGCGAGTGCGCAGGGAGATCACTATGCAAGCGTCATGTTTCGCGCCACCGTGGAGTACTCAACCGTGGAAGGCAACATTTTCAAGTCCTTAATTGTCAAGACAATGCCCGAGCAAGGCGGTCTGAAGAAGAGACTGGTGGATGATTCACACATGTTCCAAACCGAGATAGCCATGTATACAGAAGTGCTGCCCAAGTTTGAGGCGATACTGCGGGACGCAGGGGAAGAGTGTACGTTATTTGTGCCTTGTTTATATCACAGCTTGAAACCGCGAAAGGTTATGATCCTTGAGGATCTGGT